TTCAACGTCAGCTGAATGCTTTTGCTGATTGGTGTATTCTGAATCGTATGGAGGTTAACCCGTCCAAATGCTCGGTTATCTCTTTTTCGCGCAAGAAAGAGACTATTATGTTCAAGTATGTTTTGTTAGGCACTGAAATTGAGCGTGTCAGCCAAATTGAGGACCAAGGCGTGATTCTGGATACAAAACTCTCTTTCAAGCAGCACATCTCGCACGCCGTCGACAATGCTTCCAGAATTCTAGGGTTTATCTTCAGGATTGCCAAAGACTTCACGGATACCTACTGCCTTAAATCGTTGTACTGTTCATTGTCTCGCTCCATATTAGAATACTGCTCGGTTGTCTGGACTCCTCACTACAACAACGGTGTCGAAAGAGTTGAGTTTGTTCAGCGACGGTTCCTGAGATATGCGCTACGTAAACTGCCGTGGACGGATCCCTTCCGATTGCCTAGCTACGAAAGTAGTTTGCAACTGATCCATCTGGAGCGTCTGTCGGTCCGAAGAGATACAGCAAGGGCATTGCTAATTGCGGATATTTTGCAAGGGTGCACCGATTGCCCTGTCCTCCTTGAGCAAATTGACATCAATGTTCAACCCCGAGCCCTACGGAATAATTCAATGCTGCACCTGCCCATACAGCGAACTAATTATAGCATGTTCGGTGCAATCGGTGGTTTACAGAGACTCTTCAGCGGCGCCGGTGGTTTAGTGGTAAGCGTGATTGTCTCTCACCCCAGCAGGCCTGGGTTCAATTCCAGTCGGCGCCTCCGGGATGCTCTGAGGCATAACATCTCTAATCACGCCTTCCTTCGGAAGTGAAGTAAAGCCGTTGGTCCCCGGTTCATGAGTTGATGGGTCGATAGGTAGGATCCAGGTGCGGGAGCTGCCTTCCTGGCGTCGGTAGAAAAGAGACTCTTCAATAGGGTCTCCGCACTGTTTGATTTTGACCTGACTCGCCAGCTGCTTCACCGGAGGTTTAGTTCGTTTTTTCTAGACCAGTTTAGTTTGTTTAGTAATGTTCCTTTTTTTACGAGATGACTATCTATGTACTTATTGATGTTTTGTTTTAGTACTTTTCATGTTTAGTTTAAGTTACATCATTGGGGCAAATAACGCCTGTTGATGTTCAGTCATAATAAATAAATAAATAAATAAATAAATAGGGAAAAGCCTATTCTTACATGTGTGCAAATATCAAACTTGCGATTTTTTTTATGTTGAAGTTGTTCTACAAAACTCACCATGATCAGATATATTTTAGCCCCAAATGCAAAATTTATTTACGAGCTTTGAATTGTGTGCATAGCATTGATGATTCAAACTTTGATAAATTATAGACCCAATGAAAATTAATTATTTTTTTCATGTGCATCATTTATGAGTACACAGATAAAAATTCCGAATTTTAATAGTGATGTAAACATTCATTCGCGTAAACTTGTATTTCATTTCACACAACCGAGCAACTTGTAAACAATTTAGTTTACAACAATGGGTTTTTGTATACAATATTTGCTTTTTGGAGGCGAACCAGCCCAAGGCTGAAAGCCTCCCTAATAAAGATAAATAATAATAATAATACAATATTTGCTACATTGCATGAAATTTCTCAGAACTTTACCGTACATGTAACGGACACTTTGATTTTCCAAAGAATTCAATAAATAAATTTATTGGAATCATTGTTTCTTATCCTAAACGATGAAAACTAAAACTTTATACTATAAAATATTCTTGACTTGTTTCCAAACGTTATTTCGTAACTCAATCACTAGTTTTAGTATATTGAAATTATTTTTAAGGCAACTAGAATGTGCCTAAATGCGTCAAAATGGGGTATGCACTTTCTGAAAGGTATTGCCAAGACCTTTCTAAACATCTGAAACACATTTTGTTCAAGAATTGAGTGTAAAGCTGTGTATATTATACCATTCTTAGGAATCTCATAAATGAGTCATAAAGTTCTGTGGTTCCTCCACCGCCATCAACCGTGCAGCTACGTATTACTCTCCTGGACTCGCTTGGTTGGATACCACCCCTAGGAACGAAATACGAACCCATGCAGCGAAGGTGGAAGTGAAAGTTTGTTTTTGATGGTGCCAAACATTTCAAATTACTACCCACGAGCAAACCGCATTACCAATAACACAACGTCCGTAAAACCCATCAATGGAAAGTACACATTGTTTTCGCCATGACAAGCTCCAAGGTAGCCGGCTTTCGGCTTTGTTTGGAGCGCACTGGTATCCAGGATGGTGACGTAATTACCCGCAAAACCTTCAATTTCGTTGCGATTCTGTTTCATTTGGTAGGAATATGGGTATGAACGCGGGCGCCCGCCACACACACAGGCAAAACACACAGGTGATGAACTGATTTATGCTCGGTTTAAAACAAAAACGCGATATCTCTGCACCCACCTCCGCAATACTGAGCTCCCCTAGATACGAAGGAAAAGGGTTCCATTAATAATATCCGATACGACCCAGGACCACGCTTTAGCATAAAACATAAGATCGTGCGATCTCACGAGACGGTGGACAGACGGTCGAACGGTGATCAACCTGCCCTTGACACACTTTGAGATCGACGACGACGGTATGGTCTGGTTGTAGCGGTTGTCTGCACTATGGCTGTGAGAGATACCTTCCAAGCTGCCAATAAAAAAATGTATTGCCACGGAAAAATCGCTCGCGGAACCGTGAGCAAACAAGGAAGTGGAACGTGTTGCCAGGCGGTAAGAGGGAGAAAGGCGGAGAGCCGGCCGGCCCACCGTTGATGCCTTCATCGGTTGGCGGCAAGGAAGGAAGACCGCAAAGAGCAACACGGGAAAATCGTCTGCGAGAGAAATGGAAATTGACTGTAAAAAATTATTCTTATATAATAAAATTCGTCTACGATAGACGGGGTCGTTTATGAATATGCAAAAGCGCTGGAAGGGTGGTCCCTGCGATGATATGGGACGAAGAAATATAGATCCAATTTGGCCTTGATGGATGAGTTCGTTTCGGGGTAGGATAAAAATTGAATGTTGATGGATTTACTCGCTAAATGACATTATTTTTTCGCAGCAACAAGAACCCTAGCGCACGATGAATAACCGATCCATTGAGACACAGCGTACGACAACTGTTGGAGAGTTATCGAACAATGAAGCCATGGATGTCGCGGAGAAGATTCACTGGGCCGTGGTCGGTACTTCAGTTCGGAGGATTGGAGAAATTTCATCGTTCAAGGATACCATTTAACCACACTCTCAAGCCACTTTAGCGAACATTGGCATTCGCCTTTTGTGCTGGGGAAAATCGGTACAAACGCGTGTTGATGTTATTTTCATGGATTCGCCACGACATGGTTCCTTTGCCGGCGTGCTACACGGACAAAACATGCCGAACCTTCTGCCGATGAAATGGGCTATTATTTATGGCTTTCTGATTTACGGACCTTGATGAGCATAAATCAGCACGGTGGTTATGTTTGTTTACTTGCAGAACAAGGAGATTCCGCAGAATAAGCAGACCGTATTGTGTTGGGTAATGGAATTGATTTTCGTGAATGACTTTTTTTGGTAAGACACATAATCCTTTACATCACTGTAAGGATCGTTACGGAAAACAACGCTGGCACAGAGCCTTGCTCACCTCCAAGAATGTGAACATGAATTGAATTATAGCGAACACTACTTTATTTTGTTTAAATATGCATTTGATAACAACGATTTAGACTACCATGATCAATTCGAAATCTTAGTTTTTCTTATGGGCTATTTTATCTCTTATGGGCTATTTTATCTCTTATGAGCACTTGCACTGTACTTTTTTAAGCCTTTATGAAACTGTACACGCAAAAACAAATTTCTCTTAAGCTGGGTTTAGACAGGGCAAGTCAATTGATCAAGTCAGTTGAATTCAATTGGCTGAAAAGTTGAGCCTGCACTGATTAAAATTCTGAATTTTAATAGTGATGGAAACATTCATTCACGTAAAACTTGTATTTCATTTCACGCTACCGAGTTGATCAAGTATGTCTCCAAGTCTACAGGCAAAAAAATGTGCGTCCCTCTTTTGCTCATAAACTGACTGCGGCTGTGGAATAGTTCTAGCGACGTTTTCATCACTACCTAAAGCGCCACGTTGCGAGAGCATTTCCAGTCGATGGTGTGTTATAATGCAATTCTTCTTTAGCCAACTATTGTGTTGCTCCTCTCGTCATGACCAACTTGGTCATCTCAGAGAGAAGGCAGTAGGGTGGTTGTTGCGTGCTGTACCATCATCAGCATTGTTGACGGCTACTCCCGCCTTGAGTTGTTACATTCAAAGTGTTTTTATGTTACTTCATACGCGAAGTCTTGCCTGTAGACTTGGAGACATACTTCAAGTCTCCGCGTACATCGTACGGGTTAGGCAAAAGTGCGTCTATCTTTAAAAACTGTCGCATTAATGGCCCTTCGCTCATTTTCAACTTCTATTCAATTTTCATACTGCCGTACTCTAACGGAACTATCCACCTACTCTCTTCTAAAAGATCATTCTCTAGCTAATAAATTATCACACTAAAGCTTTATGTTAGCATTTCCAACCAACTCTGAAAATCGATAACTTCGCGAATGAAGTAACATAAAAACACTTTGAATGAAAATAATTGTCATCAATCAGAATGTTTATCATAAATAGTCTTACAATCTTTTAAATTTACTTAAAGTTGAGTTTTCTTTTGTTTCTTTGAACGAGATGTCAAAATATTGAGTAATTCTGAAATCAAAATATTTGTCCTAGAATCTTGTAAATTGAATGTATGCCTAAACACGTTCCCGTCATCACCATTCAAAAAACGAAAAACCAGTTCAATAATGTACTGTTTCAGGAAGTATATTTCATAAATACAGCTTATCTAAATATTTCATTAAATAACCAAAATAACATTATATCACATATTCACAGTGCTCTCACCTACAAATAATAAGGAATCTTTAATTGAACAAAAATGCAATCCCCGAAATCACTTATTCAAATCATTCATGTTATTCGTCGTCAGCTTGGTAAAGCTGTTCGAAAGATTCTCCTCGTCATGCAGCATCCGATTCTGGCCGGCAATGTTTCCCATCATGGTTTTGATCTCTGACGAATTCAGCGGAAACGCCCTACCCAATTCCATGTCCAGCAGGCAGTCAAAGTTATCTGGCACGTGCTGAGGAATCGAGTTGAATCCAGGCTGATTGTTCACAGACAGAGCACCGCCATTGCCCAGATTGTTCATACCGAACTGTACTCCCGATTGCTGGTAGTGATTTTGCTGATGCATCTGTTGTTGTTGTTGCTGCTGCTGCTGCTGATACATTGTCATGCCATTGGCAGCACCGGTGGCAACTGAAAAGTTGTTGTACTGATACCGTTGATTAGTCATGTAGTAATCATTGCTTGGGCCCGGTTGATATCCGATCGCACCATCGTATGGTGAAGCAGCTGCCATTGGCGTTGTACTGCCTTGAGGAGACTGGGCCGGATTACGATAAGTGACTTGAGTGGTGAAGTACTGCTGGAGGTGTGAATCTTGTGGTTCCGGCTTGATAGATGGTCCCGGTGGTTTCATCCGCTGATCAGATGGATCGGTTATTTCATAACTGCTGAACTGGGACCGTTTTCGTTTCTTGCAAAAATTGTCGGAATCCACCGGAATCAACTCGAAAGGAACCGGTTCACTGGTCGCACCATCCGATGGTCTCCTTAGCTGAATGTTTACCATCACGGATCGCTCGGTGTCTAGTGATCGATACCGTGGCGTTCGAAAACTTATTGCCACCTGTTTGTGCACATTAGAGTGTTGAAACTCACCTTGATCTTCCCACAAAATGTTGCCTTGATGTTCCTCGTAAAAACGAACGGCTATATCTTCTTTGGCTACCTTCTCACACAGCAGGATGACTTCCTTTCCACCAGCCATCGTTGCTGCTACGTGACTAAGCTTGCATATCACCAAATCGGACATGGCTTTCTTGTCGTAGATTATGTCGGAAACCACCGGCACTAGAGGCTCCGTGTAATGTCCTCGCTGTTGTCCTTCCAAAAATGTCTGGAAACAGAGCCTCACCGCATTAAGATCAATCGACGCCGGTTGCCTTCCATGGCCATAACCGGTCTTGAAAGGATCCACCCGAATCTCCTCTCGCAATCGAAGTGCATCCTTGATATCCTTTTTCTTCACACACTGAATGCCCAAATTACTGAACGTATAACTCATGCTGTTGCTGTTGATTTCCACCGTGCAGACGCCTTTTTTGCAACCCTCCTTGCCGACGAGATTATGCGGGTGGGGCCGATAGGGTGGATCCTTGGTGACGCACGAAACTACCACAACCACTCGACCCTTGTATCCGCGGATTTCGATTGTGGGAAATGTCTTCTGCTCTGCAGTACTACTCACCCCCGGAATCGAACCAGCTGATCGTCCTTCGCACTCGTAACGAAACCGCAAGGCTTTCGATTGCGGTTGCTCGGTGATTACAACGAACGGTTTCTGAGCCATTTTCAACTTGCTCTGCCTTGCAGTACATCAATCACCGAAGATCAATAAATGTTGTGTTTTTCCAGTTACTGTCATTGATGAAATACTGGGGAAATACGTCCGTCGAAATCTATTTATGTGGAAAGTTTAAAATCAACCGGCGTCAATGTGAGGAGATACCTGCGAAGATTCTACCTACGGTTGATGCGCACTTTGTCCTAGGTACAAACCTTTTTGCTGTGGCTGTATTTATTCAACGGAAACGACGGGTAGCGCCAGTGCTACTCCACCTTCTTATGTATTTTGTTTTCAAAACATAGCTAGAAGTGATGAGTTTTATAAACGGGGAACAGTGCATTTTGAAACAAAGGATTTGTATTTGGGATGTTTTGTTTTATTGCCGCGGAGAAAGCCGCTTGTCGCCAACTGAATTGGCTGCTAAAAAATGAAAATGATCTTGTTTTAAATCATTTGCTTATGGGTCTCCTCGTAGTGTGAATACTGTCAAAGCAATGTTTGAGGCGAAAATCAAGAACTCAAAAGCTACTAATAAAGGTTTTTCATGTCTCCAAGAAAGTTTAATGACTAGAAACTTGTTAAAAGTTGCAGATTAGATAAGTAAACAAACATTCTACATCATCAAGTATTCCAAAATTTAAGTTATGTTATATACAGTTTTAAGTTAGATATGTTGCGCAATTTCCACTAGACTGGACAAATAAGCCGGATTTCACTTAATGCAAAAGTGTGATAAATGTTCACGTTTACGTCAAATTGTCGTGAAGCAAAAAATAAGTGATCCGAAGACAACAAATCGATTTGATTTAAACGTGCACTTTTATCCGAGGATGCCCTCCTCGGATAAAAGTGCACGTTGCCCACTCATTTAATCTCAATTCTAGATGCTCGAAAAATCTCACACTAGCGAATCAATCTTCGAAAAATCTTCATTCATTTCTCAGATCTACTTGCACGCTTGGCATGCACACTTTTACACACAAACGGCTCATTTTTTAATAACTTTTCACTCAGTTGTTTAAATTTGTTTTTCTAATTGATTGAAGTTATTGATAGATTAGGATCATAGTTTACTATATATATGCAAAGAGTAGGTAATTCTTAACATTTGAATCATCACCAATGAATTTTAACACTTAAAGTCCGACCAACGAGCATTTCTCAACAAATACAGTTTATTACTAGAATTAAAATCTACTTTTATACCTTTCTATAACAAGCTTAAAGTCTATTCTATCGACTACTTCAAAAAGAACTATGTTTCGTCAACTGTGTGCAAAGTTATTAGCAAATGAGCAGTTCGTGACCAAAACTGTATGCCGAACATGTCTACTAGTATCACGCATCATCTTTTTTTCAGAAAATCTTCAGAATCGTCATCAATCTTATTTCTATCTGCTCAACGTGCAGGCAGCACTTTTTTAGCATTTTTGGAGAAGTTCCGTTTTAGTTGCAACCAACAATAATTTTAAAAGCCATCTGCAGAACACTTCGGAAGCTTTTATTGATAATATCAGAGAAAATAGATGTTGCTCATCAAATGTTCTGAATGTGGAAGCTATTCAAGACTCCAATAAGAATCTTTGGTCTGAACATTTGGACTGAATCTGATAACCAAAATGCAGATTCATACCTACTAAGTCCCATGAACAGGTTTAAAATGCGAAATGTGTGAAAATCAATCCGATGTGTAGCTTACTATAGTCGCTATATTCATAGTCTGATGGATAGAATTTCGATCTATCAAAAAGCGGAACCAATTCACTATATATTAGACCAACAATTGAAAAGGTACTATCAACTTTTATAAACAAAACGTTGATTATTCTTTCCTCGCCAATCGAACGCAAATTACCAGCATCATCGGATAAGGGAAACTTTCCCCAACCCAAAGATGGTGTTAGTTTGCGTAGGCGAGCCTTAAGTCACAAGAAAAGGGTTTCTTAAGTTTTGTTCGCTGATGTGCTCTTTTCTGTTGTTGGTCGTGATTTGTTCGATTGGTTCCGCTATTTGACAGTTCAATTGGTTCCCGAGATTCTATCCGCCAGACGATGAATATAGCGACTATAGAGCTTTCCGCCATTAGTGTTTCATAAAAATTTGAATCACCCCTATTTGACATTAGACGAGCATCATTATACACTAAACGAAAACATCCGCAATACTTCGACTGATTATTATTGTATTGCTCGAGCCCTTTAACAATATGCTGTCAAATTTCGGATGATTTCCTCATGGTTGAATTCGTCACCAACTGATGAGCATCGATATGACTGTCCTCCAAATAAAGGATGATTTTTAATGGAAAATTGCCTGTACAACATCACAAGGCTCAGAGGACAGCAATTTAAGGTTTGGATCACTTGCCAATGCATTTCAATATTGAATAGCCATGAAGAGCCATTCATCATGGACACAAAAATTACTTGCTGGTAGAGGAAACTTTCTCCACCACGAAATAGACAATCTACGGATTCCACGCTTTACAAATGTTCCAACCATCTCTGATAGCGATGACTGTGCTTCCATCTCGTTTGTCTGCTCAGAGCAGCAAATGACATTTGATAGAATTAAATGATTTACGTTAAAGGAATGAACCAATACCAAATGCATTTCAATTTAAGATGACTATCATTCTGAAGAAATCATTACGCATTCCAAGTGAAGGCACTATCCTTTCTAATAACAATATTCATCCTGTATTCGAGAGGTAAATTTTCTGATTTCCAAACAACCGTTACTCAGTTGCAGCTATCATTCGAAAAGGCGATTTCGATGATTCGATTTGAATGGTCTGAGGTTTCATTCGAACAGAGTGCAAAGGCATCAAATTCCAATATCAATCTGAGTAAGAAATTAACCAGTAATAGACCCCCATACGGTAGTAGAAAATACACAACTTAACAGCAGCAGTGACAATGTTGCACATTTCCAGGGTCAGTTGTTTATAAACAGTTGCTACCGCGTCGTCAGCGATGCGCGCTGGCTTAACTAGGTGCTTCGAGAAAGGTCAAAGTAAACATTGGTGAGTAAGCATCCTACATAGCCGTTCCTACCGCGAGGAGCATTAATTCTTGTTTAAAAAACAGACACCGACTTTCCAAGAGAAAAACTATCTGTCTCGCTTTATATGTACATACTGGAGAAAAACTATTGTGTAGAGTTTAAGTAACAAATTCATGTATAAAAGGTTTCGAATAATAAAGAATCGGGGCAGTTGTTCTGATGAGTTTATTATCCGAGGTTTGCTAGGTGCGGACGAGCACAGTTCCAACCTCAGGATAACTGATTCATCAAAGAGCTTTTTCCATACAGTAGAAATGGAATTGCACTGTCTTTCATTTTACGGAGAAAGAAAGACCACGCGAGTTGTTGCTCTACGTTGGGCACTTCAACACGGGAGTGAAACATGGATGCGCAACGGAGTATGGGCGCTTCATCTGGTGACAGCGGAAACTAACCCGCTATTTTCAAGTGTTGGAACGCCAAAATTTCGACTGGCTAAAATCAGTAAGTGTTAAAAAACCAAAAAGTGACTTTGATTAAATTACAAAAAAAAAGGAAAAAGTGAACTAGTGATTAATAAAGAGTACAGCACATTGGTGCACATCTGGTCAACTATAAAGATATGGGGACTTCATCTGGGAACTTCATCGCAGACTCAACAAGGAATAACCCTGATCCTGCTCCTGATAGGGTGAGTACACAGTTAAAAAAAAAATGTGTAAAGTTCTGATACATTACCGTATTATAAATATTTTACGCGTACAATATTATAAATAGTATACATTTCATCTTTGTAAGCAAAATTTCTTGCAAGATGCTTAATGCTTAATCAACCACTTTAAGGGAACGTTAAATTAATTTAAACAAATTTAAAAGGCCAGCAGGCAAATTTAATTAACAAAGCACAAAACATGAAAAAAAAAAATTTTGTCTTGAATTTACGCTGAAAGCGTTTTTGATCCAAATAAATTCGCGAAAACGGAAGATAATAGCAATATCCATAAATTAATAAGGGACTGAGAAACAGTCGCATTTTTTCTCGTTTGCTTCGAAAAACAAACAAAAAAATGGCAGAGTTCCCAACTGAAAGAGCTATTCAATGCATTCCAGAGTTCAGAGGCGTGGCCTCAGAATTACGATCGTTTTTATACCAGTGCGATTTCTTCGCTAAGAAATTGCCAGTAGAAGAATCACATGAACCTTTAATTCAGGTAATTTTGATGAAATTGAAAGATCCGGCATCAGGGTATTTCAAACGCATTTATGCGGAAACATGGCCCGAAGTGAGAACCAATCTCGAAAGAGAATTTGGGACAAATGTTAAACTGGAAGAAATTTTTCAGAAAATCGAAACTTTGGAGCAAGGACCAAACGAATCCTTTCAAGATTACAAAGATAGGGCATTAACATTAAAAGAACACGTGGATGAATATGAAGAAAATAATGCCAAAGGCAGAGAGTCATATGCACTACGGCATTTGAGGATACATTTTTTGGGAGGTTTGAAAAATAGGAACTTGAAAAATATGGCAAAATCACAGAAAAATAACACCTTCAATGAACTAGTCAAATGTTTACAGGAAGAGTGTATCTACGAAAAACAAATTGAGAATATCGAAAAAAGACTTCAGTGTATTCATATCGCTGAAAAATCAAAATCACAAAGGAACCAAAATAATTGGGATAATTATGTTAATCAACCCAAATATTTTAACCGGTATCAACGAAAACATCAACAAAACAATTCGTTTGATAGAAAATTCAGACCTCATAGAGATTTTCCGAATAACTTCGTAAGGTCTAGTCAAAGGCCGTTCAATGGAAATCAAAATGGTTACAGGGGCACGAGTTACGAATACCAAGAAAATAATAATTTTAGCAGAAATATGAATAACAATAATTCACCGAATAGGTCAGACAATTACAACAGGAATGATAACGGAAACTACAACATAAATTACCAAGGTGAATACAGCAATAGATACAATGACGAAAAC